ACTTGTTGAAAAAAAAAAAAATGTATCTCATAAATACAATCAAACTTTGTTATTTTTAATTACATTACCTAACAGAATAATCCATTCTACTGAATGCTCAGCAACACAGTAAATGACCATATGACCTGTCTTTGAAATACTCATTTGTGCCAAATTGTTATTTGTTTACAATAATTTTTACCACAAGTTAATCTTAACCCTTTCAGGGTCCCCAGGCCCTCTCCGAGACTTGTTCTCAGGGTCCCCAAATTTAAAAAAAAAAAAAAAAAAAAAAAAATAATGAAGAGAGAGAGAATCTTTTCCCGGTCATAATGACACCAAACGTATGAAATTTGATGGAAAACTTAGGGAATTATGCTCTCGCGAAGTTAGCGGTCTTGACAATGTTTACGTATCGGCGATTTTGCCCACTTTGAGCCCTATTTTCGGCCAATTCCAGTGTACTAGTCGACAAAAATCATAACTATTTCGCTAGAACTCAATTTTTTCTATCGAATGAGTACAAGAAACCACCCATTTACTGATTTCAACTATCCAGTACAGTGGTCAGAATTTAGCAATTTTGCCAATTTCACAAGATGCCAATTTCCGAATAGGGTCCAGAATAAACAAGAAAGACATTCCTGGCACTAAAATAACAAGTTCTCTGTTCATTAGTCACATCCCCAGGCCCCTCTTATATTTCTTTGACTTTCCACTTTGAATTTTTATTCTTACAAAAAATAGAAGATTTGCTGTTATGCAGACTACTGCATTAGTGTAGAAATGGTATAAATAATATCAGCACACTTGTGAAAGAATATTAGACTCGCCAGTTGACATGTATTGGATGCTTAGCATGATTTGTTTACTTTTGAGCTGTGGTAAAAATCGAACATTTCTGCTACTTTGAGCTCAATTTCAAGGTACTTTTCATTGTAAAACCAGTCAAAATCATCCCAATTTCTGTAATATGTCTTCCATTCTGTAAAATGAGACCAGGAAAACTAGAATACAACAATAAATACCATACGAAAATACAGTGCAAAATCACTGTTTAAATCCAAAAACACCGTCAAAGTTTTTTTTTTTCTCATTACGCACTGTGTGCTGCAGGATTTTTTTTTTATACTGTGCACACTGACCACAAAGACCCATTCTTTCATATGTAGGCCTACCAGCTTTCTCTCACTAGATTTGAGGGCGCTAGAATTTAGGCGTGCTAGTACGTCAAAAACCCTGGGGCGTAAGCCGTACTAGTACGGCCGAAACCCTGAAGGGGTCAAGTTAATTTTAAGCCTGCCCATAATGTTCTGCATACACGGGGCTTTGGCATGTTACACTTAACCACTGTATTTCTTTGTATTTTCTATGTATCATGTTCAAATTAATAAATATCATAATACGACTGGAGCAAAGAAAGCCACTATCATGCCGAGGCATTTTGGGCAGACTTAACCTAATACTGATATACACTATACTTAAGTCTAGACAGGTGAAAAGTGTACTAGTAGTTACCAATGTTTTGCTGATGGTGACACCAACTACTGGCAGCCTTTTGAAGTTTCTCCTTACTGTTATTATTATGTACATGGTGATGGGCTCTTGATCTAGGGAATTGGATCTGTGCTCCAGTTCCCTAAATTAGTAATAATAATAATGCATACTAATAATTATAATAATAATTATAACAATAATAATTATACAATATAATAGTAATAATAATATGTTGTCATTTTTAGACATTTTTCGTAATTTTTTTTCATATTTTTGTGCCATATGCTGCAAAATACAAGTTGGTAACCTTCTGGGTGGCTGTAGGTACTGCTAGACCATGACTATCTCAGTGCCAACCAAGTGTCAAAAGGAGGTCGCGTGCCACTGAGTGATCACAGCAGACCCTTAGGATGCTCAATTTTATCTTATACGTATTGTACAAATTTCTTAACAATGCCTCACCCAAAGAGACAGTATTCGCGTACAATCAGCAAGCAGCTCTGGAAGAGATTAGAAACTATGAAAAAAGCTAGAGAAATATAGAAGGCAGCAGCATAGTGAGGCAGCTGGCCGCCACCACCACTGTGGCCACAGTGATCATGTCTTCACCTATACGTATATCTGTGGTTTCATATGTGAGAACCTCACCACTAATCATAGATAAACATAAACTAGGTGTGGGGTTATGGACTGGGAAGATACTAGAGAGGGAGAGTAAACGGCTGATGCTTTCTGCCGCTGCCGGCATTGCCATCACTTGCCATATTATGGCCTATTATATATTCATTCTAGAGTATGCAAAACAACCACTGTGAAAGGATAGTGAAATTCCAAGTGCTTTCATGACCTCACATTATCAAGGAAGTCACGAAAGTGCTTGGAATTTCACTATCCTTTCACAGTGGTTGTTTTGCATATTCTGATATCACCTGTTTACTGTGATCTTATTGCATTCTAGAGTATATATCATGTTTCTATGTTATTAATATTATTTATTATGTCATATTAGATGAATTGTGATAGATAATTAAACCATAGAGTTGATCTTAGCATTATTTTGTCATGCCTCCTGAGAGGCTGGAATGGATTAATTGCAATTCAGTTTATTTAAATGAGGAAAATTGACTCAGGATACGAACAAGGTCACTGAACTGATTAAATTTGTAAGCTGAGGTTCCACTGTACTGGATAGTGTTTGGTAAACATATTAATAAAAGCATTAAGGATAAGATTGCAGAGAAACAAGAAGGATTTAGGAAGGCTAGGTGATGTGTAGACCAGGTTTTGCATTGAAGCATGTAAATGAAAAGTACTTTGATGAAGACTGGGAACTCTTTTGTTTCATTTATGGTTGAATGAAAAGGCATATGATCTGGTGGATAGGAGAGCAATGAGGCAGATGTTGCAAATGTATGGAAGAGGTAGTAGGTTACTAAAGGCAGTAAAGAGTTTTTATGATGATAGGTACAGGGTAGGATATGTCGGAAAGAGTATTATTTCCCAGTAAAAGTAGGCCTTAGACAGGGATGTATGATGTCATGATGGAGTTGTAAAAAAAGTGACTGCTAGGGTGTTGGGGAAAGGTGTTGGATTAAAAGATAATTAATTAGATACAAAGTGGGAGGTGTCACAGTTGTTCTTTGCTGACGATGTGGTTTTTAGAGAGATTCTGAAGTGAAGTTGCAAAGGTTGGAGGGGGAATTTGAGAGGTTTGTACAAGAAGGAAATAAAGTAAATATAGGAAAGAGCAAGGTGATGAGAGTAAAAAAAAAATTCCCATGTCAAAGACTAGATATCAGATTAGGGAAAGGGAGTATGGAGGAAGTAAATGTGTTTAAATATTTGGGAGTGGACATGTCAGTGGATAAGTCAAGCCATAGAATAGAAGAGGAAAGAGGTGAGTGATGTATTCAGGCAGCTATGGAGACAAAAATTTATCCTTGAAGGCAAAAAGTGGAATGTACCAGAGTATAGTGGTACCAATGCTGCTATGCGGGTGTGAAGCATGGGTTGTGAATGCTGCAGGAAGGAGAAGGCTGGAGGCAGTGGGAATTTCTTGTTTGAGAGTGATGTGTGGTGTGAATATTAGGCAGGGAATTCAGAGCATGAAGATAAGGAATGAGGTTACCAGTTATTATTGAGAGTGCTCAGGAAGTGTTGTTAAGGTGGTTTGGGCACTTCTATGGAATGGAGCACAATTGAATTACAGTACTATATAAATCTGAGGTGGAGGAAGGAGAGGCAGGGGTTGTTCCAAGATGGGTTGAGGACCGGGATAAAGGAGGTTTTAAGTGATAACATTAGATTGGAGTGAGTTGAAGTAAGTGGTTTTTATGATCTGACGTGCTATTTGTAATGTAGGATGACATGAAAAGATTCATGAAAACTGGTTAGCTGGACTGGAGGTGGGAAGTACAGTCCCTGTGCTCTACAGGAAGTGTAAGGATGTTGCAATATAAAGGGGCATCTGAACTGTGATGCCAACATGCTTCTGGTAAGACAGTGATGGATGATAATGAGTATTTTCTCTCTTTTTGTGGGTCGTGCCTACATCAGTGGAAGACAACCGTTGTGTTAAAAAAGTGCAGTAAAGCTAATAATAGTTATTGTGCATGCATAATTCTGCAAGTATTATCAAATTGCATATTTTTGGTGTCATTAAAAAGCGTCATTGTTTGTTTTCAGAAGAAAAAAATTTATTTTTGAAATTCCCGACATTGGTAGCACTTTGTGGGTACTGATGGTGAAAGGTTAACACAAAATCGGAATGAAATTTTGGTGACAGTAGGTGCAAAAGTAGGTCTGGGTAAACATATTATAATTAATATACTGAGCATTTATATACTTAATCTTTGCAGAATTTACACCAGATTTAGGTGCTTTTAAAACACTATTTTTGAAGCAGTTAACAGATAGGTAGCTTTTTTGTATCCTCTGAAAGTAAGTTTTAGATAAAGGTACTCTCAAATACATTTATCATACTTAGTAACATTGTGTAAATTACCTAAGAAAGCCCAGTCACTTATTTCCATATTATTGGGAGTCTTAATTGCATGCAGTTTTGAAATGGGTAGTCATACATGTATATCAGAGAAATTATGGAATGGGTGGGGTTTGAACCCATGGTAAGTGAGTTCTAAAACTCGCCGGCCAGTGCGTTATTTGTTTACAGTTGTATTTTGATTCCATGAGTGGTATATCAGAGGTACTTTACTACTTCTGTTGTGTTGATGTGCTCTGTTAAAGTTCTTAGAGTACAGTACTTAAATATGATATATAATAAGCACATAACTAAATGATTTGTAAACACAGTTGGGAACTACAATATTCAGAAGATATTAATATTTTGTAGTAATGGAGGACATCAAAGTTAAAAGAAATTGAGCTTTTCGTCTTTCAGCAAACTGGCTGTATCCCACCAAAAAATTTGAGCTTGTCACTAAAAATATAAATGCATGATCTTTGTTTAAAAAAAAATTCTGCTACGTATATGATCCTGTCTAAAGTTATATACTATTTTGCAGGGTGATGGAGGCGGCCCTCTGGTATGCAACGTGGATGGCTACTACGAGCTGAGTGGTCTGGTATCGTGGGGCTTCGGGTGTGGTCGACAAGATGTTCCTGGAGTCTATGTCAAGGTCTCCTCCTTTATCGGATGGATTAACCAAATTATATCTGTCAACAACCTCTAAGGTTTCATGGCACCAATCAAATATTCTTCCGCTCAAGTATTTTTTAGGGTTTCAAATGGCCTTTCTCAACAATGATTTCTACAAATTTTTTTTTATTGGGAGTGAGGTTGTGTGGGATTAAAGATACCTTTATCTCTCTTCGGGGTGAATTAGCAATATTCTGGATGTGTTCTAGCGGGTATGGGGGGTTTCTCTCCAGGTCAGGACATTATCTCAGATGAGAATCTTAGGGAAATGTGAATATTTTTAGCATTTTTGAGGTTTGGTCTGGATGTTTGTTTCTGTTTTTATGTTGCATAATTTTGTTTGTGCTGTGGCTTCTGGCACTGACAGCAAACAAAACATGGAATCCCAATTGACTTTAGGTTTATTAATTTTGCCATTCAGTTACCTTGTGCTTGTTTCAGATGACTGTAAATGGTACCAACAGACTATGGAAAAGGAAACCTGTGTACAGCTCAGGGCATATATTAAATGAAATCTTTTTTCACGAGAGGTTTTTCATCAATTTTAATTAGGACTGATGAAGCCATTTGTGGTAAGTTTATTCAGGTATACACAAATACAGTTACATAGAATTATCACACATAGCAGCATATGAGTAGAGAACCTAGGATAACCCAAAAAAGTCAGAGAGTGACTTATTTCCATTGGGGTCCTTTAGGGTGAAACATTTCTTTTAATAAATGTCCTGAACTGTAAACATGTCCTTTTCCACTGTTTCAGATTAATTTAATTTTCTTGTAAATGTAATTCCCACCTAGAGACAAAATCATTCAGAATATCTCACTGATGAAAAACCAAAGTTCTCACCGTGAAAAAATATTTTAAGCCATAATAAGCTATAGGGGTACTGTTGTTATTGTTGTTGTTATACATTATTTATATTAATTTATTCTTAATATTTAATGCAAACCCATGAACCAGAATGGGGTTTATCTTAACACTCATGTTGTGTGACAATAGGGTTGACTAAATCAGCTTGTGGTTGACATGATAGACAATATTTGTCACATGATTCACAACAAGGCAGTAATTCTGTCCTAATAAGCATTGTGGAAATATATAGTCGAAGAGTGAGCAGCTGTTAGAAGTATCATGTCTTATTTGTGTGCTCTGAAGACATTCAAGGTGGTACCATAACCACAGCTTGCAGAGAAATGTTATAAAATGGCAACACAATGGAAAGAACAGAAAATGGTATATAACACCGACAAGTAAGACACCTGTGTAACAGTTGAGTATATTGTTGAAACATTCCGCCTACACAGTAGACTTCTTCAGTCAAATACAGAGAAATAAATTGCTGCCTCCAATTTATCCTCCTCTGTATTTGACTGAAGAAGTCTACCATGTAGGAAAAACATTTCAACAGTAAAGATAAACAACTGTCTTACTCATCAATGAGTAAGAGTATAATACAATTTTTTATTGATGTTTTGTCAACAACAGTAGGCTTTATGTAGTCACAGACAGGTATACATAAGTACAGTTATCGTATCTATAAATTACCTAGGATAGATAAATAAAAAAAGTCAAGACAAAGTGAATTATTTCCAGTGGGTGACTTTACAAAACCTACTGAGTATAACATCATAAATAAAAGTATTACATTATGCTACATTTCTTTCTCTCAACTCCAGCTTGTAGACACAAAGGTGTACTCTATCAAAGAAGACAGAGACTGTCACAAGAACAACTTGCTCTGTACCTGTGTTTCACTCTATAGTGTAAAACATCACAGTACTACTTAAGACACACACATGCTACAGTTAGGGATCTTAATTCCAATTTTTTTTTGCCTACACAGTAGTCTTCAGGTTAACACAGAGGCAGCAGAAGTGTTTAGAAATGTAATCAATCCATCACCCTTGAAGCCCCTGTATTCAACTGAAGAAGTCTACTGTGTAGGTGAAATGTTCCAGAATAAAGATATCTAACTGTTCCACATGTCTTATCAACTTGTCAGTATTATATACCATTATCACATTCACAATAAAACTTGCTCTTCACTTCAACTACAGCTTGTGCAACATATTGAGTGTGATCCTACCCACTGTTTTCATAGAGACTTGAGTTGCAAGTACAGTATCTGTAATTGACTGACAGAATTAGACTTTAAACAAGTTCTAGTTACCAAAGACTTGAGCTGAAAAACAATGCATGTGCAGAAGTCTGAACTGAAGAGCACTTAAGCTTGTACTTGCACTGGTTCTAAATTATCAGTTCACTATTAAACAGGAATTTTGTTAGAGAAATTGACGACGTGACTAAAACACACTGACCTTTTATGTAAGAGCAGTGGTGGAGAGAGAAACTATCTTCCTCTTACATGTAGCCAAAGACCTGACTCTGATTTTTGTACATATTCATTTATTTTGCACTTATACATGTACTCACTTTAGAAAAATCACAAATATAAAAGAGGATTATTAATATACTAAAATGAACATGTTAACCCTTCAACTGTCCAAATGTAGATTTATGTTTGCACTGCTAGGCCTCCGAATGTAGATCTAAGTTTCATTTTACATGCTTTCAAATGTAAAAAAAAAATAGATCTACGTTCGGACAGTATTATAATTAAGTTTAATATAATATACTCAAGCCTCTGAATATATTATTCATGTTGTACATAGAGCTGAATACTATTATATGACACTGAAATATTATTGGTTTTTATATCCATATCTAATAATCAATTTACTTGTAATCAGGAATGACACTTTATATGAGTGTTAAGATCACTCAAGTTAATTGATATTTGTGGGGAACAGTGTTTGGATATATAGTGAATCCTCTGTTGATTAGACTAATTAGGGGGTGTGTGTGGCCAGTAATGGTAATTATGGTGGATAGAGAAAAAATTGTTTTGCTATGATTGTAACAAAGAATTCTGTGACCTAAGGACTTTGTTTCTATATTGACCCAGCAGATTTTCTGTATTTCCGAAGTATGATAAGTGGAAGCCTATTAAATTTGAGGATTACTGTACTACAGTGCCTTGAATGTGGCTCATGAGAAACATGGTGATGTGGGAAATTCTCTCTCAGTTGTAGAACTTTATTCTTGAAACTTAAGTAATAAAATAACTTGTAGTGCATTAGTCATCAACCTGAGTGATGATTCAGAGTAAATTAATATTTTTTTTTATTTAACTTTTGTATATTGAAACCAGTTCTGCATTTCATGAATTTCTAAACTGCTGAACATTTTTAAAATTAGTTACACTTTATTATTGTTATAGCTGGAAAGGGACTAACTAGGGCTAATACAGGAGTTTTCTGTTATACAGCAGGTTAGGTTCTGGGCTATTAAAAGCCCAAGAAATGTACTACTGAATATTTTAAAAGTGACAGTAGAGAAGACTAAAAAGATGTACATATTTTACAGTAAATCCATTAATAATTAAACATTTCTCCTTAGCTTTAGTAGTGGTGATGTACTGTTATAGGAAATCAGAATAAATGAATTTGTTATACGAATTGAAAACTGGTGCTTTGCAAAACACCATAAGTGAAGCTTGTACAGCGGGAGGCCGTTCTGTACTTTCCACTTAGTAACAGCACATCCAAGTTTCTCCATTAGTTCCTGATGAATATAAAGGGTTAAGAGGTTAAATTGTATTTAATATATTCTCCTTATATCTTTAATGCACCCATACCATCCATGGGTATGAGGTGCAAAATTTAAAAACGATTAAAAATGATGATAGTGAAATAAAATGTTTTTATGGGATTATGTAAAAAGTTTTGCGGAGTTTCCCAGGTGAAATATTTTAACCTGATAAATGTGACTAATTATGCCCAGAAAACTTATTAGTAACGATTTATGGCATAATTTATTTGTACACTGAATTACAGTAATGTTGGCAAATGTGTAAGTGAGATCGTAAGAGCTGGTTGCTAGATCCACTTAATATTGAAAATGCAGTTCAGGAGCAATTGATTTAAAATTATGATTAATTTATGCACAGTATTTCTACACATCATAACATGAATTCAGATATTTTATATATATATTAAATTAAAATTTCAGAGTAGAAAATGTCTCAAAACTGATGTTGATGATCATCAGCCTGGCATTTTATTATTGTATTCTTTTTGCCTAAGATTTTATACCAATGTAATAAGAGCTGCAATTGTACTTCATAGTAACATATTAATCTAATTAGGCTGTGTGTTTATGTATGTAAGAGTAACTCACAGTCGTGAAGTAGAGAGTTAATGTTGATATTTTTAAGTACCCATGTAATGTTAATGCCTTAAAAAATAGCTGCTGTTTTTTACATCAATACTAATATCTGAACAATCACTACTATATAGCCTGGACAATCACTACTATATAGCCTGGACAATCACTACTATATAGCCTGGACAATCACTACTATATAGCCTGGACAATCACTACTATATAGCCTGGACAATCACTACTATATAGCCTGGACAATCACTACTATATAGCCTGGACAATCACTATAACCTGGACAATCACTACTATATAACCTGGACAATCACATATAAACCCTGGACAATCACTCTATATAACCTGGACAATCACTATAACCTGGACAATCACTACTATATAACCTGGACAATCACTATATAACCTGGACAATCACTACTATATAACCTAGACAATCACTACTATATAGCCTGGACAATCACTACTATATAACCTGGACAATCACTATAACCTGGACAATCACTACTATATAGCCTGGACAATCACTATAACCTGGACAATCACTACTATATAGCCTGGACAATCACTACTATATAACCTGGACAATCACTACTATATAACCTGGACAATCACTATAACCTGGACAATCACTACTATATAACCTGGACAATCACTATATAACCTGGACAATCACTACTATATAACCTAGACAATCACTACATATAGCCTGGACAATCACCTTACCTGGAATCATATAACTGGACAATCACTACTATATAACCTGGACAATCACTACTATAATAGCCTGGACAATCACTACTATATAACCTGGACATACTACTATATAACCTGGACAATCACTACTATTAACCGGGACAATAACTACTATATAACCTGGACAATAACTACTATATAACCTGGACAATCACTACTATATAACCTGGACAATCACTACTATATAACCTGGACAATCACTACTATATAGCCTGGACAATTACTACTTTTATAGCCGGAAAAATTACTACTATATAACCTGGACAATCACTATATAGCCTGGACAATCACTACTATATAACCTGGACAATCACTACTATATAACCTGGACAATCACTATAACCTGGACAATCACTATAACCTGGACAATCACTACTATATAACCTGGACAATCACTACTATATAACCTGGACAATCACTACTATATAACCTGGACAATCACTACTATATAACCTGGACAATCACTATAACCTGGACAATCACTACTATATAACCTGGACAATCACTACTATATAACCTGGACAATCATACTATATACCTGGACACACTTAACCTGGACAATCACTACTATATAACCTGGACAATCACTACTATAAAAACCGGGACAATCACCACTATAAACTGGACAATCACTACTATATAACCTGGACAATCACTACTATATAACCAGGACAATCACTACTATATAACCTGGACAATCACTACTATATAACCTGGACAATCACTACTATATAACCTGGACAATCACTACTATATAGCCTGGACAATCACTACTATATAACCTGGACAATCACTACTATATAACCTGGACAATCACTACTATATAGCCTGGACAATCACTACTATATAACCTGGACAATCGCTACTATATAACCTGGACAATCACTACTATATAACCTGGACAATCACTACTATATAACCAGGACAGTCAGTCATTACTGCATAACCTGGACAATCACTACTATATAACCAGGACAGTCAGTCACTACTGCATAACCTGGACAATCACTACTATATAACCAGGACAGTCACTACTACATAACCAGGACAGTCACTACTACATAACCTGGGCAATCACTACTATATAACCAGGACAATCACTACTATATAACCAGGACAATCACTATATAACCAGGACAATCACTACTATATAACTAGGACAATCACTACTATGTAACCTGGACAATCACTATATAACCAGGACAATCACTACTATATAACCTGGACAATCACTATATAACTAGGACAATCACTACTATGTAACCTGGACAATCACTATATAACCAGGACAATCACTACTATATAACCTGGACAATCACTATATAACCAGGACAATCACTACTATATAACCTGGACACTCACTACTACATAGCTTGGACAATCACTACTATATAACCTGGACTATCACTATTGTATTACCAGGACAATCACTACTATATTACCAGGACTATCACTATATTACCAGGACTATCACTACTATATAACCTGGACAGTCACAACTATATTACCAGGACAATCAATCACTACTATATAACCTGGACAGTTACTACTATATTACCAGGACTATCACTACTGTATTACCAGGACTATCACTACTATATAACCTGGACAGTCACAACTATATTACCAGGACTATCACTACTGTATTACCAGGACAA